AAGCCCATAGGAAGGAAGCTTCGAAAGAAGCGCTTTGTGCGAGACCCGATCGAAGGCCTTCGCTATGGCCAAACTAACGGCCAATGCCTTCCCCTTGGACTCGATGGCCTGCGCCCATCTATGTGTTAGGTAAACAAGAAGATCACCAACTGAGTGACTCCGACGGAAACCGGCGGTCACTAATAAGCTGGTGCTATTCGAAGTATTATATGTATTCGATTGCATTGCAATCTTGTTCTGTGCAAATGGCTAGTCTGCGCTTACACTGACTGCCGTAATCGAAATTATTATTACCTATTATATTTAGACATAAGCCAAGTGATTATATTTTGTTCAAATTAAAACAGATTGTGTATGTACAATTGATTTTATATTGGCTAATTAAAATAATATTTCCACGTGTATTTATTTGAACATTCCCAAAGAAATGTTTTGTTTTCATATTAATTTCATGAATAGGTACTTAGAATAGAATGGAAATAGAATGATTTTTTTATTCAATATTTATTATTATATAATACTTATTGAAAGTAATTTTTTATTTACCACTGGTTCGCAAAATACCTTAGTCCTGGGAAGAACCAGCAAGAAACCCAGCGGGACTTCTTTTTAAACATAATTTCACTTAACAATAATTTTGTTTATACAATTTTAAATGAATTTTCATAGAACCAGCATGGTGGCGATCACCTTATTCCCTGGAGTTATTTTCATTCATGTATTTTTTGATATTATAAAAACCCATTTCGTACAGTTTTTCTTAAACTTTTGAAATTGTTGACAAACTTTGAACATGCTCTGGGATTTTGTTGTAAAAGCGTATACATTGCCCCATAAATGAATTACTGATTTTGTGGAGTCTAGTAACTGGCATTACAAGCTTATGTTTGTTCCTAGTGTTTAAGGTATGAACATCCTCATTCTTATTAAAGCTATTTACGTTTTTATGTACATACATTACATTTTCATAAATATATTGCGATACCAAAGTTAATATGTTTATTTCTTTAAATTTTCTCTGGGGGACTCTTTACAATTTAGGTTATAAATCGCCCGTACGGCTTTCTTTTGCAAAACAAATATAGCTCAGTCTCATTACCCTATAGCAAAGTTCCATAAGACATTACGCTATGAGAGTAACTAAAATACACTAACCTAGCTGTCTCAACATCTGTGAGACTTCTAATCTTATTTTAATTTCATATACGCCATAAACGGTGTGTTTTATTGATAGTAGATATTTTTTATTTGCGCTGATAATTTTCAAAGGTTTTTAAAAACTTTTTATAACTACTATCACATTTATTTTACCACCCTTCTTACACTATCGATAATTTCAGGTGTTTTCTTTATTATAAGTAAGTAGTAGTACACTGTGATAAATATGGTATTACATGTGGTTTTATCGAAAGACACTTCAAAGACAATTTAGCAAAGACTGTACAAAAGAAGATAGTGTTGTGTTTGACAAAAGTTATCGATGTTTGATTGTACAAGATGATGCTATACGTGACGAATACAGCGGACGTACCAGTTCGACGGCCTCCGAGGAGGAGGCAAATCAGTGCCAATATTAAGGTTTGTTTGTATGTAGCCAAATTTTAAACTTAAGTTCAAATATATAAATAATGATATACCATTATTGCAGTTTTTAAAAATACAAAAATTTGTACAACCGACTTCAATATAAATTATTAAGAATAACTCAAATACTGTTGGTCAGACCTTGATCAAATTTATATGGGACCACATGAGAAGCACCAGCTTCATCGAAATCGGTTGACCCAGAAAAAAGTTATGAGGTAATAACAATAATACACATAAAAACACATACAGTTGAATTGAGGACCTCCTCCTTTTTGAAGTCGGTAGAAAATAATGTGGTACTCCAGAACATGAACATGGTCTGCCCGTATGCCCAACGTATGCTAAATTTTTATTCAAATATTTGTTAAACAATCACAATTGATTAACAAATATTTGAACATTTTTACAATCGTTCATTTATTATGTAAGTAATATTAGTATTGATAAATTCTGATGATGCCGGTCGAAGTGTTTATGTGGTAATTGTTTACGTGCCCCTTGGCAGTATCTTATAGCAGCAGTGTGAGTGGATCGGCTCGACCGCAGAACATCCTCACATGATACCATCGTGAAATATCAGCAAAATGCTTCCATATTTATATGGTAAGATATGAAAACAGAAGACGCGAGAACTGAAGATACTTTATCTTAGTTCTCAAGAGTGACGCATCTGTATTTTGATTCTTTGTACTGACGTATTTTACCTTAGTTCTCAAGAGTGACGCATCTGTATTTTTATTCTTTGTACTAACGTATTTTACCTTAGTTCTCAAGAATGACGCATCTGTATTTTTATTCTTTGTACTGACATATTTTACCTTAGTTCTCAAGAGTGACGCATCTATGTGTTAATTCTTATTCGAGGATAGATGTAGTTTTCTATAGGTCACAGCGTCCACTTAACAACAGGTAGATAGTGTTCGTTTGTTAATATTACATCTACATTTTTAATGATGAACTAATATAGAATTACAGTAAGTACAAATGTGTTTTATAACCACTATGGTGGAGTTTTTCCAAATGACAAAACGGCTTCACCGACATTGAAAAAAAATTTGTGTGTTTAAGTGGGCCCCTGGATGGTTTTAAATTTTAATTTATAATTGGACGTAGTTATGCAAAAAGGATCCAACCCGCGATAAGTTAATTTGAGATTATGATATTTGAAGTATCCATACTTCAAATATCATAAACTCAAATTATAGGTATGGTTTCTGTCTGTTTGTAATTTTTCTTCTTATTTGTGTTACGTTTGCTAAAATTCTTACATCACATAATAGTATAGACCACAAACATTATTTTTCAAGTCAACATTTTTGACACAAACTCGGCTTGGATCCTTTTTGCATAACCACGTCCAATTGGACCTGGTAGGTTGCGCTGTTGAGATCCAGATCACCCGTGCGAAGCCATCGGATCGCTAGTAAATTATATAATAGCGTCTCTTATTGATAACAATTTGATTGATGTTTTCAGTTCCATATCAAATATTATATCGTCAAGTTCTTATCTGACTTCAATTTAACATTTTACTGTTTTAGAGACTACTGCGTTCTGTACTACACATGTTGATTGTATAAAATATTTTTTGGAACGAAGTTCCTTATCGAACGGTACGAATTTGACGGATGTAGGCTAGGCGAGCAAAACGTGTAAGATTTTTCCGTCACGACCCGTTTTCTATAGTGCGAGCGAGATGGAATAATATCCATCTCCCTCGCACTTTTCTACCAACTTCATAAAGGAGACATTACTCAATTCAAATGTATGTTTTTTTATGTGTTGATCAAGGTCTGACCAATAGTTTTGGAGTTATTCTTAACAATTTATATTTAAGTCGGTTGTACAAAATTTTTAAATTTTAATTATTTTTATCTTGCCATGAAAGAAATTATATTTTAAATGACGCTTAATTTTAATAGACGCTACTAATTCATTTATTTGCATTTATTAATCAATAATATAATACATTTATCAATAATAATATACTACGAAAAGAACTTCGTTCCAACCGAATGTTTCACATTACTCACGCATGTTTTTTTACATACAATAAGGTTGACCAACGCTCACACAGTCCACCTGATGGTAAGTGGATGCTGAGGCCCATAGACATTTACATCTATTTATATATATACACACAATTAAGAATCAAAATGCAGATCCGTTGTCACCCCTGAGATCTAAGATGGAATGCCTCGTTTCCAGTAAAAGGGGTCTCCGGTTCTCTACACTCAACATACGAAACACAGCAGGGTTATTCTATGTTTCACTCTGGTACTCTGTGAGAGCGCTCGAGTCGACCTATTCATGATACACCTAGCTGAGCTGACAAAGCTTGCAATATATGTACCTTCTGGTAAGTAGCTACTGCAGTCCATGAACACTTGCGGCGAACTACAAACAAAGATGGAATACTTAATAGCCTGTAATTATAATGACTCTCCATACTAGAGATTCCTAAAGTGGATTCCGCGGAACCTTATCATGCCGTGAGAAAGTCACCCGGGTTCCGTGAAATTATTTATTTTTGCTCGTTAAATAATTTCACACGTAGGAACAAATATTATTTTTGTAATACCGCAAAATATGTAATGAGAAGAACCCATTATTGCGTACGTAAGTACGTAGGTAGTAATTGTACATTTCAATTGAACTGTTTTTGATATGTAAGAATTTGATGTGGGGTTCCATAAAATAAAAGGGATTTGGTGAGTTTCATTAACTTAAAAGTTTGGGGACCCCTGCTTTATACACTTTGTACTCTTTATACCTAGCAGTATAAACATTGCTCTTTGGCGGCAGACGTAATTTAAATAACCGGCCAAGTGCGAATCGGACTCGCGCATGAAGGGTTCTGTATCATCGTAAAACACGTTTCTTGTAGGGGAGCCCTCTTTAATTTTTAATTTATTTTTATTATTTGTTGTTATAGCGGCAACGAAAATACACATTCTATGAAAATTTCAACAGACTGCCTATTACGGATCATGAGATACAGCCCGCTGACCAACAGACGTACAGCGGAGACTTAGTAATAGGGTCCCGTTAGTTACCTTTCGGGTAAGGAACCCTAAAATTTGAGATCAATCTGGGCGAACTCTAAGTAAAAATGGAGTCCTAGCAATAAGTGAAATTTCTTGAAAAAGGATGATCTCCTGTCGAGCAAGTTGTACAGCCCAGCGCCATCGCCTGCTATTTCCAGCTGTTAATAGGAAGACGCTGCTGCCCATCTCTTGGTTTGATTCTCTCTGTCACCTCTTACCACACCCAAGAGATGATATGGGTTAGCGGACTCTATTCATCTGTAAACATATATCTGGTTATTCATTCCATTTTCACTACTTTATAATTAGTGCGGAATGTAAATTTACTTCCAAGGTTTTTATGGTTTGTATTTTGTCCTTTCACAGCGGCACCATGCAGGGATCTCTCAGTCGTCGTGCAGCGACGGCTCGCTGCTCAGCGTCGGTTCCTCGGAGATGGACGAGGACAGCAGCAGTGGTCACCACCACTCGCACGACCACTCCGCGCGGAGCGACCACTCCGATCTCTACAGTGAGTTTAATGATGAATCTTTCTTTTTCATCGGTCCGTAAAAACCCACTGTTGGACATCGGCGTCTCCTGTTGTGAGGGATTGTGAATCGTCATCCTTGGCAAGCGACAACTCCTTTAGCAGACTACGAGCGGGCGAAAAGACTAACTCTTTGTTTTGTAAACCGCGGACGTTGTTTTCGACAACCTAACACTGATTTCCATACGTGATAGAGCCATGCTCCAGTTATATTAGTAGTATAGTTGTAGCACGAATGGGTCGGCTCGACCGGGGATGTACCACGCTCTCACAGAATACCAGTGTAAAATGGCAGCTTGACACTGCTGTGTTTCGTATGGGAGTGTGGAGAACCGGAGGCCCATTTTACTGGAAAAGAGGCATTCCATCTTAGTCCCCACGGGTGACGACGCATCTGCATTAAACGTGTTTCGAAGTTTATTACAATTAAGTATGTAATTTCGTTTCGTATTTGCCTAAAAACAATAGCTTCCGTTAGTTAAAATATAACTGCGTGGCATATTTATTGTTCCAGCTACCTGCCCGCCGTGTTTGGCGCCCGTACGATTCACAGTTTTTGTACTGAATTATCGTCTTTGAATTTATGTTGATATTTAACGTGAATATTTGCAGATTCCTCGGAGCCTCCATCGGGTGTGGCGCCACTGTCGCACTCGGCCGCCAAGCACAAGATGGCGGTGCGACCGCGACGCACTCACGGCGCGCCTCGACGCAAGAAAAATAACCCGGTACGTATTACGTACGCATTAACTGTTAGCCACGTGTTTAGGGAATTATTAAATTAAACATCGTAGTTGGTACAGCTACATGGTTGTAGCACGAATGGGTCGGCTCGACCGGGAAAGCACTACGCTCCAGCGTAAAATAGCAGCGTAATGCTGCTGTGTTTCGTATGGTGAGTGAAGAGAACCGGAGAGCTTTCTCACTGGAAACGAGGCATTCCATCTTAGTCTATGGGCCACAGCATCTACTTACCATCAAGGGGACCGTGTGGTCTTGTAGTTTCATTACCTGTCTACACCACCGCGATTCCTGCATTCGAATCCATTTTCAGCCGTTGGAGGAAAAGAGGAGATCTTCCACCGGACTATTATAATTTTACTTAGAAACTTCCACATCCTGATTCAGGCTTTTGCACTATGAGGTAGGCTTATGTCTCTGTTTCGTATCTATCTAGGTAAATACGAGCAGGGTACATTACTAAAGTATTAGACTGTTGAGTATTTAATTGTTTTGGAAACCTTCACATACACATATATTACGGCAAGTTATGAGTTACCCTCAGAATACATGTACCTGTGGCTTCTTATTGTCCTATATCTATGTATATTAAGATATCAAGAACGAATTTTACGGACGGAAAGTTGTTTCAAAAGAGTAAAAAACATTTGTTACTGTGATTATTTGGGTAATTTTATTATTAATTTTTTATAGAATAAGGTTGACAAACGACCACACAGTCAACGTGATAGTAACTTGATGTTGTAACCCATTTACATCTATCCGCGACTAAGAATCAAAATACGGATACATTGACACCAGTGATGAATAAGATGGAATGCTTTATTTCCATTAAAAAGGATCACTACTCACCACACGAAACAGCAGCATTAATCTGCCATTTTTACGTTGGGTTTCTATGAAAGCATGGTCCTTCCCCAGTCGCGCATATCCATTCGTGCTACAGCCATAATATGGCAGGAGTTCTATCATGTATAAAGAAGAAGAATAATGTGTGTATACTATATACGCAAGTAGACAAATATCGATCAGTATTATGATGTTATAGGCAAAGATGTATTATAAAAGATAGACAGGTTACACACTAACATTATTGTATTTTAAAGTGGCGCAGGTAGTACTATATCTACGTACAGTTATTTATTATGACACGTTGCGCTAACAAAAAGAGACAAATGATACGGCATACCTATCGTTAGAAAAAGATGAATATATATCATTAGTTGTGTATTGATTGCTGCTGAGCGCTCATTGGTGCGAGCGCGTGACATACTGATATGGAAATGAACACACTAGCTAGCGTCAAAGTTTACACTAGCGGTTAGTGTTGAAATAATAAAACCAATTATGAACAAAACATCTATATTCAAAATATTAATAAGAATTTTTTCTTGTCTCTAACAGTTGCCGTGTACTTTGTGAACCACCTAAAACACAGGAAGGCATTTTTACCACGAATAACTCTATAAGATTTACGTGCTGTAGCGAAGGTATAGCCGCGACGCGAGAGAGTGCCCGACTGAATACCAATCGGGCAATTACCTGACTTTCGTATTGCTATTTTTGAGCGAGTATGACGTATCTATACTTTAAAAATATCTTATGACTCCAGTACACGTTGGCCGAGCGCACTTGGCGAGCGCGCTCGGCAGATTTTCGTGGTGCCGTTCACACGTTGGCGTGTTTCATTCTGCGTTGATAGCTAGATGATGATGGACGTTAGGGCGATCGCGGCCGCGGCAATATTTCGCGCTTTCAAATTTTATTTAGATGTGCACCAGAGAAGAGTGATTAAAAAAAGATGACGCAAAAGAAGATGGTGGATGCCGAGTATTCTATATGTATATACACTACACATACAACAATAATCCCAGTTTGTCCTTTTTAGGGTTCCAACCTCAAAAGGAAAAAAGAAACCCTTATAGGATCTATTGGCTGACCCGTGCCCGCTTGGCTGGGCGTTTTTTTCAAAATAAAAGATAGCCTAAAAGAAGCCCCTAAGCTACATTATCCCTGAGCAACATAAACTCTAAACATGTATTATTTAATACAGTTAGGCAAGTTTGGGGTTCCATATAACTGATTCATTGTGACAAGAATCAATGAACCTAAATATTTCCTCATTAGTCCATGTCGCCATGTTCGTGAAACAATTTTATTAAGCCGACACTACAGTCTACTCCGACGCGTAACTATGAACTGAACACTCGCCCAACGTGTGAACACTGCGGCTTGCGTCAAATGTCTTTGATTTGTGCACGAAAAACCGACACTATACGGCTTGTCGGCGAGTTTTGGCCGCAAACGCCAAATATATACAAAACGGCCCAGTACACGTTAGCCGAGCACGCTCGCCAAGCGCGCTCGGCCAACGTGGAGCCATTAGATTATAGGCTGTTAATGTCATCGTTATGGTACCTATATGGTGTGTTTCCATCTTACAGATTGCCGCATCAGCCTTGCCGATAACGCCCGAACTGAACGAAGAAATGATACGAAGCACTACTCCTGAAGTCACGCAGAAAACCTTAGAAGTTGTTACTGGTATGCGAACTAATTATATTTTTTAGTAAAAATATTTTTTGGTCTTTAGGACATGTATGGACACGGTACGATCCCGTATTATCAGATAATGATTTGAATGCCTCGTTGGTTATGTTCCGGGTTGAAATCTCGAGTCGGGCCAAAATTAGTTATTGGGTTTACTGTCTAGAAATTATGAGTGGCAGCCCGGAGTCAGAAATTTGGCGTTTCGTTTCCGTGCCTAGGAAAACACGTCAAGCTGATGGTCGGGTCGGTTTGCAGTCTATGTAATCAGAATATGAGAGTGAGGGAATAGAGAATGCAACGTTACTTGCCTATACACTTCTGCACTATAAATCCTGTCCTGCACAGATGGTTAGTCTCCGTCGATTCTGAACACCGTGACAACCCGACGTCCGACCGTCGTACAGTCTGGAGGATAACATTATAGTTATATGTTTGATGTCCAACATTTGTTGATGGAGTGTCCCAAATATACATGGAAAACTGGCTAGCTGATGAGGAAACTAAAATTAATCCACAACGATATAGGCCTGGCCCAGACTATACTGGCGAAGCCTGCATCAGATGTGGCTTTTTTACTTATAACGCAGTCCCACCAGGTATAGTTCTTGCAATTTACTAGTGAGATGGACCTTTAGATGTGGTACGACATGTAAGCGTGCCTGGCGGAGCATCCTCGACGCTATACGTAACGATTAGGAAATAATAAGCACAAATGACATCAGCGGGCGTCCGTTCGCGTGCTTGCGACTGGGCGACTGACCCGCCAGGCACGCACACTGTCATACTGTACATGTACATGTCGAACCACATCTAAAGGTCGACCGCATTCGTTAATTGCGAGAACTATAAGTGGTTATTTTTTTATGGAATAGGGTGACAAACGAGCACATAGTCCACATGATGGTAAATGTGATGCTGTGGCCCATAGACATCTACATTTATCCTCAATTAAGAATCAAAATGCTGATGCGTTGTCACCCCAGAAGAACTAAGATGGAATGCCTCGTTTCCAGTAAAAAGGGTCTCCGGTTCTCTATACTCACCATACGAAACAGCAGCATTAACCTGCTGGTATTTTGTGAGAGCGTGGTCCTACCCCGGTTGAGCCGACCCATATGCTACAACCATAATATAGCTGCAGCGTGGCTCTACCACGTAAAAATGAATGATGATGAAGCCCTAGATGGTATATCGCACTGACTCAACGTAACCAAATGAGGAGGGAGGTGGAAAAGAAGGAAGCTAGGATGTTTTATAAGCTTTTAGTCACAAATCCTCAGATATGAAATCTTTTTGATAGGGAACGGTAGGATGGCATGTTCCTAAAGATATAACCCCAAAATAAAATTGAAACAAGAATTAGTGTTTATTGGAACGAAGTTCCTTATCGGATGGTACGCCTTTGGCGGATGGGGGCCAGGCGACAAAAGTGTAAGATTTTTCCGTCACGACCCCTTCTTACGTATATAGACAGCCATGGCAGCTATAAGGAAGTGAGATGGAATAATATCCATCTCCCTCGCACTTTTTCTTATCTTGCCATGAACGAAATTTTATTTTAAATGACGCTTCATTTTAATAGACGCTAGTAATTCATTAATTTGGTATTGTTAATCAATAATATACATAATATGTTAATAATATACTACGAAAGGTACTTTGTTCCAACTGAGAGTTCCACGACACTCATGCATGTTTATTTTTTATATTTATTGGTCTTAAAGTTTATGAATGAACTAATGTGTCTTTAAATAAACTGTAATTTAACGATAATGTAATACATAATTACTTTTTATACAGCATAATATTACATAACGTATTTAATAAAGGGTTCTAGTATTTTTTTTTTAGTTTTGATCCTCTCCATTTGAATAGCCCTTAAGTCTCGCTTAATCCGAGGAAGTGTCCTGTTTAGCATGAAATTAATTTGGTTAAACATACAAAAATTAGTAAACCAAAACCAAAAGAGAAATATATTTATTTTCTCTCATTACCTTAAGATACACAAAATAGGAACTATATATTTTATAATATTTATTATTTGTTTGGTTAATTGGTATTAATATAAGTTCTAACGCTATCTAACGTAACTTAGCTTTCTCGACTTGATAGTCCATATAAAGGTAATCCATATAAAGTAGTTAAAGCTACAATATCGGAAGTAGTTCATAAACGCATAAACCTACTAGTAATTTCTTTTTCAATATGCATTTTTTTAAATATGGTATGAAACTTATTTTTATCAAAAACATAAAAATACTTGGAATTTATTAAATATTCCTTCTCTTTCTCTCTTTACAGAATCATTCTCTTCATCGACCACATCGAAACATCAAATGTTCGTCAAAGAACAACACCAACAAATGAACCGGGAACTGCAAAGAGTCTTGGAGCCATCCAACGACACCAAAATGAAATCATCTTCCCTTCCACCAGGACTGGCGTTAGGCCAACTTATGGGCCAGTCGCCAGCGAAACTCAGTATTGCAGAGTCAAATACTCCACGTTCGTCTATAAAGAGAAGCAAATCGAGCACCCAAGACCAACCCTTGAGGGCAAACTCGCCCAAAATGCAAGTCATTGCAGCGGAAGCCCAAATCCATACATATCACTCCGAAGAACGAATGCCAAAATACCGCCTGGATAAAAAATATGCCGAAGAGCCTTGCCTCGAGAAAAAGTCTAAGTCAGAGAAGAAGATAGAGAATGAAAATATCAAATCATCGAAGAAAGAGGAGTCATTTTTCAGTCGACTACTCCTGAGGAAAAGCGGTAAAAAATCTAAGAAGGATCAAACTGATGGTGAATGTCAGCAGGAGATTAAGAAGTCAAAGACGGAGAAATCTCAGTATAAAGTCGTTGACGCTGATAGAAGTGAATATACCCACCCTGAAACCCATACACACAAACCAGTGCCAGCGGAAAGGTCTTACAAGTCAGCGGGGCAAAAGGCCTTTGCAAATCAATTGCACAAACGTATAGACAAACAAGGCGCTTACGTACATGATGGTGCATACAAAGACGTGTACAGCGCTGCGAAAGTATCCGGCATGGAATACAATATAGCAGATCTCAAAATCGCCGAAGAGACCGACACCATGCTGAACTTCGAAATGAAGAGTCGATTCAGTAGACGCGACGAGTTCAGTGAGAGAGTCGAAAAGAAACGCTCGACTTCCAAAGAAACGATTGCGGAACACAAACGCGAATCATTCAATTTAAATCTTGATAAATCTAAGAGACCGGCATCAATTCAGCGCTTAATGGACCCATTCCCCTCCAAGGCGTTCATTAATAATGAAATAATTCAAAACCAAGAGGAAACTCTGTCAACTTCTCTGGAAATATCTGACGAAGAGCTGCCTATCGCAGCTATGCGCATCAAGAATACACCTGGCGATTATGCGTTTCACAGCGGAAGTATGCCTAAGAACTTGCCCTACTTCAGTCCGAACATAATAGTATCACCTTCTCCAGCAAAAATTAGTCAATCCTCCGAGAACGTGAAAAAGACGATTCGCTCCTCAGAACACGTTGAATTCCGCGACAGGCCAATCGAAACGCGCGAATGTGTCCACCACGGTGCTAAAATCGAGGAATCCTACGTTACTTCCGGTTTGAGGTCTCTAGGCGACGAATATGTTGAAACTAGAAACAGCATCGGCAAATCGCACAGCTTCCGCTACGCTTCCGAGTCTACTTCGATAAGTTCGCAAGAAAATCAAATGCCGAGTCTGCCGGCAATCGTTGGTATATCCGAACCACTGCTAGAGAGTTGGGAGGTTAACTACAGAAGGAACGTTAGCGACAGGCATGATTATTCCAAGAGAGTATCCGCGAGGAATTATAATATCATGCAAACGAGCGCTGAAACAAATTACGATAGTTTGCCAAGCACTGATAGCAGTTATTTGGACAGTCTTAAAAATGACGACGACAGAAAACTGTTCGCTAATAGCGTCCACATAGCAATGGATACTCACAAACGTGATAGCGACATCTCTCAAATCGAAGCCAAAATTGACGACATTATTAGCTCACCAAAACCTATTATCGCTCCGATACTCAAATCCAATTCCTTAGACAGCGTTAAGAGCAGCCCTGAAAAACCTGCGGATGACAGAAGGAAGACTGTTTCTGTGGAAAGTTCGTTAAGTCAGAGCGGCAAAACGATACATAAAGAAACAAATCAAGACACAGAAAACTTTATCTCCGTAACTATTGTTAATAGAGAACTAACTCCTGTAGCAGTTAAAAACATCGAAGCGTCTATGTTGACTAAAAGTGACGAAAAATTGCAAAAATCTGGAGTTACGTCCAAACAACCAGGGGTACCGGAGTTTCTTAACATTCAATTAAATAAAGTGGACGCGAAACCTGCAACTCACGTGGTTTTAACAGCCAACGTGACTCCAAAAAAGGATAATCCACAGATCGAAAAGGAACGAGAAGTTGAAATCTTACCAGTGACAGAAACTAAGATTTTAAAGTTACCAGTCGCTAAAGAATCTATTGCATCAAAAATAACAGAAAGTGTCGCCGAAAATCTATTGGAAGACAAAATAACAACAGTAGTTCCAAAGCCCATACAACTATCTCAAGCTACTCCGCGAAGTCCCTCAATGCCTAGAGATTTCTTTAAAAGAAAAACCGCGAGCATCGAGCTTCAAGACAAACCAGAAAAAACTAGAACCAATTCCGTCAGCACGGAAGGTAGTACAGAGAAAATTTTCGACAATATTTCCATGGACCAAAAATCACATTCAAGCTTCGGTAGTAAAAGCTCGATACAGAGCACCGACAGCAACGAAAACAGAACTCTGGATAGACACGACGAGACAGTTGTATATCGAAAGAAGCCAATCATTGGTAAAGAAACACGAGGTGATAGAAAAAATGACGACGAACCGGAATTAATGAAGGTTTTCGCGAGGCGATCTCTCAAAATAAAGGACACAGAAGCTGATAGTTTGGCTCAAGAAATCGCCGAATCCAAAGAGAAGAGAGAACTTACCGAAAACACATCTACAAAATCCAAAATACTGAAAAACGAATTTAATGCGTCCATCAAATCTAGAGATAGTGACAAAGAGAATGATGAAAAGGAACAAAGCGTTGAGAACAAGCTCGTAGACATTGCCGCTAGAGTCAGCCAATTCGGAGTCCCGCATTACCAAAGGAGCGTCAGCATTCACAGCGTGTCAAACGTGAAACGGGACAGCGCTCCCGTCTACAGGAATGAAGTCAATAAATATAAGAAGGAAGTGTCAGATTCGACTCCCGAGAAGAGACTAAGAAACAGAACTTTCCCGGACCCGTCAAACGATAGAGATATGGCCAAGACCGAAGCTATGGCTTATAAAGCCGACACGCTTACGAAGCGCCCTTGGCAACGGAAGGACGAGTTCAGGTTATCCGTGGAGAAGGAGAAACGTGAGAGTTCTGTGATAGAGAAAGAGTGCGAGAAAGAGAAGGAGGAAGTTGAGAAGGAAAATAACAATGCAGAGGGAGAGGCGGACGCGTCACCGCAGTTTAAAGGCATTCTGCAGATGAGAGCAGAATGGGAGCGACGAGCCAAACAGGGGATGACCAAATAATTAAAGGTGCTAAGTAAGGTAAATTACTCCTTTATTATTTTAAGTATGTACTTATTTTAAATAATAAAATGAAAACAGTCTATTAACTATTTATATTAAGAGAGCCCACTTCCCTATTAATTAATATTAGGGAATACACCGCACCCAGTATTTTACAAGTGTTAGAACCAAGCTGCAGCTATATTATGGTTGTAGCACGAATGGGTCGGTTCGAATAGGGAAGGACCACGCTCTGGTATCTACAACGTAAAATAGCAACTCAAAGAAATGCCGCCGTGTTTCGTATGGTGAGTGTAGAGAACCGGAGACCCTTTACACTGAAAGTGAGGTATTCCATCGTAGTCCTCAGGGGTGACAACGCATCTGCATTGTGATTCTTAATCGAGGATAAATGTCTATGAGTTACAGCATCCACTTACCATCAGGTGGACTGTGTGCTTGTTTGTCAACCCAATTTTATAAAAATATCTAGGTGTCACTATTATGTACAAACATAATAGTGTGGATTCGTATTATCTTTTTTGTTAAACCTCTTTCGCACAAATTTGCATGAATGAACTTGTACCGAATATAGGAGTATTATGTAGAGACAAGAACAGAAGCAATGTAGAGCAAGAGAGACACCGGATTTTTGAAGTGAACACTTCTGTAGCCGTGTAGAGTGATTTTTGGTAGGGGATAAACTTATGGGTTCGCGTCACTGATGACCTCGACACGCAGTATAGCGGCCTGTGTACACGTATACGCATATATCATCGAATTTTCATTTTTGTCGGCAGTCCTTGTGACCATTAGCCAGTGAGTCCATTAGCCTAATTGCCTACCCAATCTAACCGACAAATTGAAGATTTTTTTTTATATCATAATGGTGACAAACGAGCACACAGTCCACCTGATGGTAAGTGGCTGCTGCGGTCCATAGACATCTACATCTATCCTCTATTACAAATCAAAATGCAAATGTGTTGTCACCTGTGAGGACTAAGATGGAATGCCTCATTTCCAGTAAAAAGGGTCTCCGGTTAAATTTGATTTCGACATGGTCATCACACCATATAGTGGCGGTTCGCCCATGCCTGTGTTGTCCTGTATGAGGCTGCCACTCACCTTTCTTTCCCTTCAAGACAATAGATTAGATATTACATTGTATATATATTTGAAATGATTCCTAAAACTAACGTACTTTTTGTTTTTTCAGGAATCCAGAGGATACCACGTAACAATAGGTTATATTATGTAGTGATATGGAAGAATTTAGGTTAAACATTGCAGTTATTATCGAAACTAAAGTTACATTACACTATAGAGTTCTATGTAATGTTAATACAATGTATTTTTGAGTGTTATTGCAAACTATAGCATAGTTATATTTTATTAAAGACTAAAATTGTGTATTAAAAATATTTCTGAACTGTGAAATACAAATTTTATTCCTGTAGTTTTTTTATGTCGTTTCTATTCCTACTGTGTATGTCCCGCTCTGTATGGGACTTATGGAGTGAAACAGTCAATAAGGTGCATTAAAGAATTTTTAGCCGACTTCAAAAAAGGAGGAGGTCCTCAATTCGACTGTTTTCTTTATGTGATATTGATGATTTTTATTTGATAGCTGGTGCTTCTCATGTAGTTCCACAGTAGTTTTTGAATTATCCTTAATAATGCGTATTTAATTGACGCTGGCCAACCGACTTTAATTTGGAAAAGAAAATTGAAAAAGTCAGGTATACGTCAAAACCTGAAAACGAGTTTGTACAACCAGTGTGTGTTGCCAGTGATGACTTATGGATCTGAGATGTGGTACTTCACTGCGGGCCGTGTGAGGACGTTCAAGGTCGCTCAGCGAGCTAAGGAGAGGGCTATGCTTGGGGTTTCTCTGCGTGATAAACTTAGAAATGAGGATATCCGCAGTAGAACCAGAGTAACCGATATATTCCAAACAGATTAGTAAGCTGAAGTGGCAATGGGCCGGCCATATAGCTCGAAGAATCGACAACCAATTGGGAAAAAGGTTCTCAAGTGGCCTCGTACCGGTAGGCGAAGTGTAGGGCGACCCCCCACTAGATGGAGTGACGACCTGGTAATACATGCAGGAAGTCGATAGCTGCAGGTGGCTCAGGACCGCGCTTTGTGGCATTTACTGGGGGAGGCCTATGTTCAGCAGTGGACTTGTGAAGGGCTGTAATGATGATGATGATGAAGTCAGTTGTAAAAAAATTATAATTTTACCACTTGTCACTACTAGGCTATAAAATTGTCAATTGCAATTTTAAGAACTATTTACCACGTGCTCGACAATGGAGGAAACATCGTGAGGAAACCTGCATGACTGAGTAATAAAAAAAAATATTCGAATACTTGTGAAGTCCGCCCGCTACACATAATGGGGCACAGTGGACACTTCCTTGACCTAAAACCTCAGAAACGAAAGGAGGCCTATGCCCAGGAGTGGGGCGTACCTATATAGACTGTAACTTTACTTTGCTACTAGACCATAGATCAGATATGGTTACGTTAAAGTATTTTTATGCAAAATTCGCCACTGCAAAGCACTCTCAGAAAGTTATGAAAGCAACGTCTCCACAAGTCTCAATCACGGAACACATTGTGAGAGGCAGTCGCAAGAAACTCGCAAGTAGACTAATTTGGTCCTAATACTTAAAAGTTATTCTCATAAAATATAAGTATAAACAAGTCAGAAAAAGTTATTATTATTCTAAATAAATCGCTTTTCCATAAAAATGATTTTTATATGGAACTAGCTGGTACCCCTGCGCCATGCTGCCGCAAAAGACTGCCGTGGCAGTATTCTCGAAAATTTTCGGTCATCACTGCACACCATGCTGAGTGATATCCTTTTTTGCCTTTGATGTACGAAGTCAAATGTATTTTCAACCAACTTCAAAAAAAGGAGGACGTTCTCAATTTGACTGTATTTTTTTAATGTACCCCACAACATTTTTCTTGGTGACCCGACTTTGATGATTCTTCTTTATTTGAAAGCTGGTGCTTCTCATGCATCCCATATAAATTTGATCAAGATCCGATCAGTGGTTTTTGAGTTATCCTTAATATTGCTTATTTAATTGACTTCGACTACATTGATGATGTTCTCATTTTATTTGTATTGAAGTCGGTTGCACAATTTTTTTTTTAATTTTACCAATTGTTAAGTTATAAATTTGAATGTGTGTCTCAATGATCTTTGTCAAAATAAAGTGTTTCTTTCTTTGTTTATTAATTAGTAAAAATAATTAATAAGTACATATAATTTTAGCTAAGATCTTATCATAGATTGAGAATTACTATCACATCACAAGTCCACTGCTGAGCATAGGTCTCCCCGAGGAATGCAACAAATCACGGTCATTTTTTTATCGTGAGTTAATTCTCATGTATACCATCTTCTGCGGGGGCAACAGAAAGGTGATGCCGGACTTCTACCGGCTAAAACCCCACGGTGGTTACCGGCGTCGTATACGACGGGTCCCGAGATCTCCGTTCGGAACGCAACCGGGGCCCCTCCCTCGCTTTGCTGCACTAATAGCACGTCCCGGGGGCAGTACTTGTTGCCCCCTGCACCCTCGCAGTGCTGCCATGATGTGTCGAGACCACTTCCGAGTCATCGCCCTCCTCGGGAGTTATATAACTAGGCGATCGAGGCCACCGCCCCGAGCGTCTGCAACCCCAGAGGCCCCGTTTCCTGGTAGGGGAACACCGTTTTCAAGAAGAGGGCCGTGATGAATGCCTTGGCGACGGACGAGCGGGATCCGCCAGTATGTCCGCCCTACACCGCGTTTACCTGTACAATGCTTCCCTTCTCGAATCTTTCAAATCCTTGTCGATTGTCGGTTCTTCGTGATATATGACAGGTCTCATTAACAATGTGTGTACATGTCACAGTCGAAACTCATAACCGGTCAAAACCACTTTTGACTGCAAAAATCAGGCAAAAATGGTTTTGACCGATGCCCTTAGTCAAAAACAGTTTTGACTGATTTGTGTTGTCAAAAGTGGTTTTTACCAACGTTCTTAGTCAAAAGTCACAATATCAGAAACAGTAGGTTAAATTGCCGCTGGGGTGGCTCCGCGTACATTATAATGATATAAAATATAATATTTAAGCAATTGAACTTTTTAATTTCAGAAATTCAAAAAGTTTAAGTCAAAAGTAGTTTTGACTAACATTGTTGGTCAAAACCACTTTTAACCGATGTAATTTGGTCAAAATCATTATGACCCAGTATTTTTGCAATTAAAAGTGGATTTGTCCAAAACTACTTTTGACTGCAAAAATCAGTTAAAAGTGCTATTGACAAACGCCTTTAGTCAAAACTACTTTTGCTTGACTTTTTACAGTCTAAAGTGGTTTTGACCGGTTATGAGTTTTTACTGTAACATATGTATATTTTGAAGTGACAAGAATCTAAAAAGTACACGTGATGGCAAGAGGCTACTGCAGCCCATAGACACCTGCAACCTGCAAACAAGGACTAAGAGAATACCTCACAGCGTCTAATTATGCTGGCTCTCTTATACCCTTCAGATTAAAACAGCAATGCAAGCCGGAACTCAACAGTAGGTATACTGCTGCTTGACATCAGAGATAGACAGTAGGATGATTCCAGCACAAATTGACACCTAGGCAGAAAGTTATGAACTTATTTATTTCTGAAAGTGTGCACCTAATATTTATACAGGGTTATTTTTCAAAGCGTATTCAAATATATAAATAATAATATACCGTTATTGCGGTTTTTGAAACAACATGTAAATAAAACTTCATACTTATTTGAAATTATTCAAAATTGAATGTGATTTATGGGCAACAACGTTTTTGCCTACCGATCGACCCTTACGAATGTATGCGTGCGCAGTAAAATCAGTTAAAATAATGCATTACCACGCATTTTGAATTTAAAATATAAAAAAGAACAAAATTATTGAGTTTTTTTTTTAATTTATTTTTCTTCACCATTTATTTAAATTACTTATTATGAACATTCTCTGCAAATTTGGCCAGTTATTGCAAAATAACCCTGTATAATGGCCTCGCAAATCAAACGTTGAATTTCATTGACGGCCTACAAATTCTAGGATTGGGTCAACAAATTCGGCTAATTTGCTACAAAATACTTTATCTTACAAGTCATATTGCACCTCCAAAGTATTGTTCTCTGTTTACTTATAGGTTGAAATTGAAAGGTAGTGAATCCAACTTTATACATTTTTTTGCAATGAAGTTTAAACCAATAAATAATTAAAATAAAATAGAGGCAGTATCCACGTTTCCTTTGTCCATACGGACACACTTTATTTATAGCATAATTTTATATTTAGTTGAATATAAACATTTTCTACCGACTTTAAAAATAGCCGGTACTCAATTCGACTGTATGTTTTTTTATGTGTGTTACCTCATAACTTTTTACTGCGTGAACCGATTTCGATGATTTTTTTTGTTTGAAAGCTGGTGCGTCACATGTGGTCCTATATAAATTCAAGGTCTGACCAATAGTTTTTGAGTTATTCTTAATGTTACGGCCTACGGCTGCTCCCATAAAGGTCAAATCCTCAGGGGCCCATTCAGCTGAGTTTCGACGAGCAGACGTAGGTCGGGCCTCCTAAGGCCAAAGTGGAAAATCTCTTGTTACACTAAACAATAAAGGGGGAGCGTTCTATACTACGGCCATTCAACAGGGAGAATATTAGACGGAGCTTACTTACCTATATCCAAGGCGACTGCTCCCTCAGGATTCGGTCTGGTCGCATGTGGCTGTGTAGTACAAGGGAAATAAGGTGCTGTGATATGTATCTGGGTGTGACTGATGGTGATTGACCTTAGTAGACCTTTGCAGTCGGCAGCAGCCCGGGCGGCAGCACCGCTCCAAATTGAGGTAATCTTACGCGGCGCCGTCCACAGTCACTTTCTTCGTTCATCACGATGACAGTCCATTAACTCTATCGTACTATTAACTAACTTACAGAACCCACTAACTCTCGTTTGTTATAAGCTTAACACACAAAACTAACAGGGAGTGTCCGGATCAAAGGTCACTACCGCTTCGCGTAGCAACAGTTATTTCTAGAATATCAAAGGCCGCACTAGATAAGATTGTCGAATGCACCTATACAGATTCCGAGTCAAACCCATTGAGTCCCGGGTAAGCTCTACACCAAGGAATACGCGTCACAAATCCTAGACAGTACATTTACTAGCCGTACCTAATTATTCCGAGTTCCTGAACAAAAATTGACAGCGTGCTGGCGTTAGCCCAGCTGGCAGACGACTGGCTTTCGCCTTCACACGTTCTCAACACCCACCGCTCGACCGACGTCAAAACCGGTATGGCACGCGCCCTCTCGCGTTAGTTCCTGAAATTAGCGTTTGGCGCGAACACTTAATAATTTATATTGAAGTAGGTTGTACAAAATTTTTAATTTTAAATTATTTTGTGTAAGTATGATCGGATTTCTCCTATATTGCTACAGCTACGTCGAATTCTCACCACTAAATGGGTTAACCGACATAGCCCAACGGATTAGTAAGCTGAAGTGGCAGTGGGCCGGCCATATAGCTCGAAGAACCGACAACCGATGGGGAAGAAAGGTTCTCGAGTGGCAGCCTCGTACCGGTAGGCGAAGTGTAGGGCGTCCCCCCACGAGATGGAGTGACGACCTGGTAAGACATGCAGGAAGTCGATGGATGCAGGTGGCTCAGGACCGTGTTTTGTGGCATTCTTTGGGGGAGGCCTATGTTCAGCAGTGGGCTTGTGAAGGGCTGTAATGATGATGATGATGAAATGGGTTAACTGGTAGATGATACATAAAGGCATTAAGTCCGCCCTTTTTATTATTATAAAAGAACTAGAGTTCCGCCCCGGCTTCGCCCGGTTGATTTCTGTATCTCGACAACAACGCCACCTACCGGTTCCAATTGTGAATTTAAACTGATCTCTAATCAACTTATTCACACACACAAAATTTACAACCTATATACGTCCCACTGCTGGACAAGGAAATGTCCGCAGCGCTGCCCAAATGCGTGTTGGCGAACTTCACATGTCTTTGAAATATTGTTTTTCTTATTTCTTAGACACACAGGTTTCCTCACGATGTTTTACTTCACCGCAGAGCACGTGGTAAATCAGCATTAAAAATTGCATGGTAAATCAGCACTTAAAATTGCACACATACAAAATTTTATCAAAATAGGTCCAGCCGTTTAGGAGGAGTACAGTCACATACACACGGAGAGAAGAATTATATAATATACTAATATGCTAATAAACTTTCATCTTGAATCATTCTATCTATTGATGGAAACTGCATCTACGTAGTTGTAAAGATCTAAGCGTGCAGACGGCGGGAAGCGACTTCGTTTTATACTATGTAAGACATAAGAGAAGAGATAGAGATACAATAACGGCTAAATAATTAAACTCCGGGCTTCACAATGCTAAAGGAAATCTGGTTTCAACTGAGAGCTATCAATATGTTATCTTATTGTTAGAGAAACGTAGGTGACAGTTACTTTACTTCTACGGTAGGGTTTTTAAAAAAAAAAATAATTGTCTACCCTCACATTAGTAATTTCTCCTGCATCGTGAAGGCGAAAGTGACCTGGCTCACCACCCGTAACGTTATGCCACTCGGAGAGACGAGGAGTGGATTGCGTAAGTCCGTTTGGATAACAATAAGATGGATGAAGTAGCTTTTCTACGTGGTAGAGCAACGTTTTAGATATTTTGTGGCTGCGGTGCTAATATATCGGCTTGACCGGTGAAGTACCACGGACTCACAATATACCAGCGTAACGTAGCACCTTAATGCTGCTAGGTTCCAAATGGTGAGTGTAGAGAACCGGAAACCCTCTCTCTTGGGCCTATGGGGAGATGACTCCTCTGCATGTTGATTCTCAAACGAAGGCACAGATGTATTTTGGTCTATTTATAATCACACTCGAAATGTCGGCAGTTTCGTAACACAAGAAAAAAACACCAATGTGTTTTCCAATTTTATGTTTCGGTTTTTTTTTATACGATAAGGGTGACAAATGAGCACACAGTCCACCTGATGGTAAGTGGTTGCTGCGGCCCATAGACATCTACATCTATCCTCTATTACAAATCAAAATGTAGATGCGTTGTCACCCGTGAGGACTAAGATGGAATGCCTCATTTCCAGTAAAAAGGGCCTCCGGCCACCTGCACTCACCAAGCGAAACGCAGAGGTAAACCTCTGCT